TTTCTAGTTATTTATTTTTAGAGAGAGAAAGAGAGTGAGAGCCAGGGGTGGGGAGGAGGGAGAGGAAGAGAAAGAATCTCAAGCGGACTCCACGCCCAGCGCAGAGCCCGACACAGGGCTTGAGCTCACGACCCTGAGATTACAACCTGAGCCAAAACCCAGAGTCGGGCGCTCAACTGACTGAGCCACCCAGGCGCCCCTCATACACACATTTCTCATTCCTGCGCCCCTCCCCACGCCAGGGCAAGCCAGAGCGCTAAGGAGTGGGGGACACATCAGCATAGATGGGACCCTCGGAGGAAGGAAGTCCCGTAGGGCTGGGCCTAAGGGAGCTTTGGGGTGAGAGGGCTTCAGAAAAGCTGTTCCTGGGTTGAACAAAGAATGCCCTGTGTTCTTGGAGACTTTCCCCAGGGGGCAGCTGAAAGCAGAGGCGCCGTGCAGAATGTGAGCCACTCTGGCTGGAGGAGAAGCTCTGGGGTTGGTGAGTTGAGGAGATGGGACAGCAGGATGGGTGTTAAGGGTTCTCTGGAACATTCCTAGTGCTTTCAGACCTGGGCGGCCGAGCTACCCTGAGGCACAAATGCAGTGGGTGGTGGCTACTCGGTAGGCTCCATGGGGTTCCTGCAAGGAGTCAGTTGACCGTCGATGTACAGGTTTATTTCTGGACTCTTCATTTCACTGTGACCTTTGATCTTTAGGGGGAAAGGGGTTTGTTGAGGGTCTGTCCTGAAAGGTAGCAGTGACGATGGTCCTTTATACAAAGGGCTTTTGCATAATTACTTTCTTCACTCCTCCCCACTGTTACTACCTGATGAGGTAAGTATTACTGCCCCCATTTAACAGATGAGGAAACAGGCCAACAGAGGTCAAGTGACTTGCCCAGAACTAAACAGCAGAGCTGGGACTGGAGCCCAGCTTTGTCCGATGCCAGAGCCTTTGCTCTTTCTACTGCACCCCAGCTGCCTGGACCAACGTTTGGATAGCCCTTTCCGGTTCCACAAGTGTTTTAACACACATTAACTCCTTTGTTTAGCGGCTTTAATTTAGAACAGTTAAAGGCGAGTTGTTTCCAGCTGTCCAGAGCTTCCTTAGGAGGAAAGGAGGAGGGCCAGAGAAGTACAAATGCAGGGCCTGGGAACTCAGTCAAGGACCAGTGGGCAAAACGGAAGACCGAGAGCAAAGATCCGATTCGTGAGATGGGAGAGTGAGTGGGAATGGAAGATGGGGGGCCCAGGAAGAGCCCTTACTTTGATGGCTTTACTAAAATGAGACGTGGTGTAGGCCATCCTGGAACATCAGCCAGGTGAGCCTAAATACAGCGTTTGGCCTGGGTCCAAACGCGGTTGGTGACTCGTGGTGTGCCTCCCCGCTGAGCAGAAGGCCCGGGGATGTGCAGGGAGGCCCGCGGGGGGCTGGCTGGTGAAAGCCATTCCTAGGGAGTGAGGACAGGAGCCAAGGGCTGGGAGCTGGCAGCTGACAACATGATCAGCTAGGAGCCGCCGCTTCCAGAATGTGGCCTCCTGAGAGGAACAAGGATGTCCTCATTCCCTGACCAGAGGCGGCATGGGGAAAAGGATCTTCGAGAAATGTTTGATGAAGTGTCTGTTGACCCAAGATAGAAGTTGAGATGGGTCTTTAAAAGGTGACTGTATCTTGCCAGTTTCTCATCTTTGGTGTCTCTGGTTTGGAGGAAAGCAGGGAGGCATAAAAGTGGCACTCTTTCCAAAGTCCGCAATCATCGCCTCAGAATAGACTCAGTCTCGTCCAGGCAAGACTGTGTTCACCATTTCCTGGGCCGCCTAGAAATTTCATGTTTCCCTGGAGCTCAGAATGTGACTGATCAGTGATTGGGGGCGGGTCTCACAACTTCAGAGCCCCAGAGTTGTTTTTTTTAAGATTTTATTTATTTATTTATTTGAGGGAGAGAAAGTGAGAGAGAGAGAGAGAGAGAGAGAGAGCACAAGAGGGGGGAGGGTCAGAGGGAGAAGCAGACTCCCTGCTGAGCGGAGAGCCCGATGTAGGACTCGATCCTGGGACCCCGGGATCATGACCTGAGCCCAAGGCAGACACTTGACTGAGCCACCCAGGTGCCCCCGGAGCCCCAGGGTTTTAACAGGAATACACACACTGCTGTACGCACACACAAACAGACACAGAGCCCAAATGTGTTGTAAAATCACAGTTAGCAATGTAAGGCCTCACCAGACATTTATTTGGAGCCATCTCTTTGGCCCCTTCCCTGCCCAACTGTTTACCTCCCTTTACTCCCCCGGCCTCTCTTGCCCTGCCCATTCTGTCCACACCCTCTACCCTGGACTCTCCTCTCTTCCGTGCCTTTTCTGTGCTCATTCCATCTTCCTCTTGTGTCGCTTTCTCTGTAATAGTCAACTTCCTTTCAAAGATGATCCCGCCCCCCGCCCTGGTCTCTTCTCTGAACACACAACAATTTATTTTATAGATAGAGTTTACATTGCATGATTGTTTCTCTCTGGCTAGGCTTAGTTTATTTGCATAGAAGAACTGGTTGCATTTTGCAAGAGCTGGAGAGCGTGCTTTTAACTGACAGAAGGCCAAGGGAACATGCTTTCTGGGACTTCCTCGGGGATGAAATTTCTTCTTAGCATTCTGGTGGAGAGGTAAGGGCGTTTCTGAGCACTCTTTCTCTATAAAGCGAGCCAGCCCTTGGAATGGTCAAGAATCTCAGCCCTCTCCCGAGCGTGGGAGGGGCTGACAAACATTTCTCTGCTTGTCTGGGAGCTGCATTGTAATGCCTGAGGTTTGTAGCTCTTCAAACCTCCCAGAGATGTAAACAGTAACCCACTCCAAGGAAGAGAGCAGTAGAACTGTGTTGAAACTTGCTCTAAGGAAGATTCCTGTGCCAACACCCCCAGTGTGGCTGCCTGTAGCCATTGCCAAAGCCTGCCCACACGCTTTCATCACTTGAGAGGAAGCTTCTGCTCTCCGTTAATGTGGAGTAGATATGTACCAAGAATCAAGACTTCAATGATTTTGCAGATAGCTCTTGATTATCCACGCCAATGGCAGCAGTGTCAATGACACAGAAAATGGGAAAAACACTTACCCTGCACCTTGACCCATGTGGCACTCATAAGGTCCTGCTTGGGACAGCCCTGTTTGGGAACTAATGAGCAGTGGTGACTTCCTTTAGCAGTGTATTTGGGGTCTTATTCTTTCCTTTGTCTTTTTGTTTTTTCTACATGATTTCAACTTTTCTATAGGTTTGAATTTTTCAAAATAATAAATTGGGGGAAAATGACACAAGTAATATCTATTATATATATATATATTTAAAAAAAAAAAAGGAGGGCACCTGCGTGGCTCAGTCAGTTAAGGGTCGAGCTCTTGATCTCAGCTCAGGTCTGGATCTCAGGGTCATGAGTTCAAGCCCCACACTGGGCTCCACGTTGGGCATGGAGCCTACTTAAGTTAAAAAAAAAAAAGGAAAGAAAGTGAAGGGTCCCCATTTACCTCCTGATGCTACTTCCCTCCCCAGAGATAACCACAGTTGACAGTCTGTTGTGAATCTTTCCAGGTTAATTTCTTTTAATTTACAAACGTACATACACGTATAGTTGTTCAGGTCTTTGTTTTTACGTAAGTCAGGAATCATGCTATATAACGTAGTGGGTTCTTTTTTTTTTTTTTTTTTTGGAGGAGTTTTAGGTTCACAACAAAATTAAGAGGAAGGTATAGAGGGGCACCTGGGTGGCTCAGTCGTTAAGCGACTGCCTTCGGCTCAGGTCATGATCCCAGGGTCCTGGGACCGAGCCCCGCCTCGGGCTCCCTGCTCAGCAGGAGGCCTGCTTCTCCCTCTCCCACTCCCCCTGCTTGTGTTCCCTCTCTCACTGTCTCTCTCTCTGTGTCAAATAAATAAATATAATCTTAAAAAAAAAGAGGAAGGTATAGAGATTTCCCATGTCCTCCCTGCTCCCACCCCACACGTAGCCTCCCCCTTTAACTACATCCCCAGCAGAGAGGCACATTTATTATCAAGGATGAACCTACAACGCCAAGTCATTGTCACCCAAAGTCCATAGTTTACCTTAGGGCTCACTCTTGGTGTTGTAATTCTGCGGGTTTGGACAAATGTATAATGACATGTACCCATCATTATACTATTACACAGGGTCGTTTCACCGCCCTATAAACCCTCTGTGCTCTGCCTGTTCCTCCCTCCCCCCAGCCACAACCCCTGGCCACCACTGATCTCTTTATTGTTCTCCTTAGTTTGGCGGTGGCTTTCTAGTCTTGTTATTACTTAACGATGTCTGCTGGACAGCTTTCTCTGGCAGGGACCATAGGTCCACATCATTGTGGCTCAAGAGCTGCATGGCATTGCACAGTATGGACGTGCCAGTTTATTTAATCATTCTCCCGGTGATGAACGTTTATGTTGTTTCTACTTTGTGTTCTTCTACAGAACCCAGCTCTGCCAGCGCTGAACTGTTCTGTTGAAAATACCCACCCGACGGTTTCTTACTATGCTCGTCCTCAAGTGGCATCGTACAATACCTACTACCACAGCCCTCCCCACCTGCCGCCATATTCCGCTTACGACTTTCAGGTATGTTTTGAGGGAAAAACAGCTCTCCGTGACTCTTGCTGCCATTCCTGCTGTCTTGTTCTCTCCCTAATTATGGGACCTCCCTCTTATGGACAAGGTAGCCAGGCCCTCAGCCCGACGGCCTTCAGCAGCCTGTGGGTACTAGTGGCGAGCTTAAAGACTATAGAAAGGCAAGATGGGAGAAATGGAGAGGGTGGGAAAGACACAGGAAACAGAAGAAAAGGGAGAGAAGGAGTGAGGATCGAGGTGTCCCAAATTGCCTTGACCGGCACCCAGGAGGGGACGTGCTCATTAGTACGTCAGTATGGACCCCTGTCCAACCACGGCTTTTCCCATTCTTCTGCCACAGAGAGAGGCCCAGACCTGCTCTTTAGCACAAGGGACTCTGGCCACACAAGGGATTGAATGTAATCTGTAAGGAGGAACAAGTCCCTTGTTTTTCTCCAGACTTCCTTAACTAGGACTACGCAGAGAAAGGGTTTTATTTTTTTAATAACACTCCCCTCCCCTTTTTTGCCTTGTTATCACATGGGTCTGAAATAGAGTTACCAAATTTGCACTTTCCCCTTTTCCTTTTGAGCTGAGACGAAGCACAGAAAAACAGAACCAAGAAAGGCACTTAATTAAAAGGGCTTCATTGTGTGCAGAGCACTGGGCTAGGCACTTCAAGGAAACAAGCAAAATGGTCTTTTCAACATGTACAGTGATCGTCAACCCTTGACCATAGAAGAGTGGGATTACACGGAAGTCTGGTTAATTGAAAATTTGAGGACCAAAGGGAATACCTTTGAAAGGAGAGGAGCCCATAATGAATTTGCTTCTCCTGATTAAGGACCCCTAGATGCTCCAAGGGGACATAAAGGCATGACTGTTTGGGGGTGCTTCCAATTAGCCAGCCAGTTTACAAACACAAAGCCGTTGGGCAACCTAATTTCAGCTTTAGATTAACAAAATAATTGAACCTGGAAAGTCCCATTTTGTTGAAGACAGTGTCCTTTTGTTCGGCTTAGATGCTGTGCGTGGAGGTCTAGGCCTGTATATTGCAACAGTAATATATATAGTGTGACCACGGACTTGTTCACTCTTATAAAATGCAGAACCAGAACAAGGAGGTGTCCATCAAAGCTTGGGAAAAAAATAATGCTGGAACTTGTTCTGAAGCCTATAGTATTTACAGGTAGACAACAGAGGGAACTCGTTACCCAAATAGGTGCTACACAGACTGGAAAACACGAATCTGTTCAAAAAGGGCATAGACAATTTCAGCAGTGACAGAGGCAAAAGGAGTCCTTTAAGAGACTGCAAGGATGGGGGCGCCTGGGTGGCTCAGTCGGTGAAGCATCGGCCTTTGGCTCAGGTCAGGATCCCAGGGTCCTGGGGTCGGGCTCCCTGCTCAGCAGGGAGGTTGCTTCTCCCTCTCCCTCTGCACCCCCCTCATGCTCTCTCTCGTGTGTGCTCTCTCTCTCTCTCTCACACACACATAATTAAATAAAATCTTTAAAAAAGAGAGAGAGAGAACACAGAGATGTTGAAATTAACACAGCAATAAAAAGTAATAAAAAGTCATCCTGGGGGGCTCCTGACCAGCTCAGTTGGCAGAGCATGCAACTCTTGATCTCGGGGACTGAGTTCAAGCCCCATGTTGGGCGTAGAGCTTACTTTAAAAAAAAAAAAAAAGTCATCCTGGGATAGAGGGGCCACAGACACATAGGTCCAGCCCCAGAGGCTGCCTCCATTTATTTTTTATCGAAGCAAATGATGTTGATTATATTGATTTTAGGAATTTTCGTTTTAAAACGAACCCCTGAAGTAGGAACAATCATCTCCCTGGTGATGGTCCTTGTACACTCTAAGATAGGAAGCCTCTCTGTAGGGTATGGAGACATTTCTTCGTCCATCGTTCCTCATTCAGACACTACCCCAGGGATGAAAACAAGATTGACAATGCCAGTGGTGACCCGGGCTGTTGGCTTCAGTTCAGTCGGTGTTTACTCCGTGTTCCCATGTGCCAGGCACTGTGCTAGGAGCCGTGGATAGAAAGATTGATTGCATTAAGAAATCAGGGACTTGAGTGGGGGGTGGTCAGGGGACAGCAGTGGAGACAAAAAGTGAATAGTCTATTACCCAGAGTGCTGTGGAAACCCAGCAGCAGGGTCCCTAACCCAAACCTACACTGTGGGTTTATAGCACGGACGTCAGGGATTTGTGGAAGCCTCTACTTTTTAATAACAGCTCCTATTCACTGAGCCCTTGTTCTGCACCAAGCATGGTGCCAGGTGCTTCACATATATCATCCAATTTAATCCTTTGAGGGAAACAGTCTTGTCGTTGCCAGTCTTTTGTCATTGGAGTCTGTCTGATTCTAGAAGAGGCTTGAAGAATTCTTTGGAGAAGCTGTAAACCTGAGCACAGCATAGATCTTTTTCCCCCAGTTAATTTTAGAATCTTTATATTTTTTACTGATTTAAATTATGGGCTTCCTAATCATGACTCAGAAGGGGTCTCTAGAGAGTAAACTCTTTCTGATTAATTATTAAATTGCTCCCCACTCTAGCGGCTGCTGGGACACTTCTCATACCTCTCCCGGTTCTTTTTCTAGGTTCGAGCTGTCTTTGTGTTTCCTTTTTGGAGACTTTAGAGTGTGTGGTGTGGGTTTTGAGTGATGTGGGGTTTTAAATTTTTTTAGAGACTTTATTTATTTTAGAGAGAGAGAGAGAGAGGGAGAGAGAGAGCACATGAGCAGGGGGAGGAGCAGAAGGGGAGGGAGAGGGAGAGAAATAATCTCCAGCAGATTCCGCACTGAGAGCAGAGTCCCCCGTGGGGCTCAATCCCTCAATCCCGAGATCATGACCCGAGCCAAAACCAACAGTCAGACCCTCAACTGACTGAGCCACCCAGGCGCCCCAAGTGATGTGTTTTTAAGGAACTTGTTTTCTTCTAGAACTTAAATGGTGTGTTTGAATTGAGCTTTCTTTTGTTCACCAACTTTCATTCCCTTATAGTTTCATAGGAGGAAATACCAGTCTTTACCCAGAAAAGCCAAGAGGATGGGGGAACACCTTGCTTGCATTGCCAGATAAATAGAAAGCCATCAGCAAAACGCACACCAGCTCTGACGATAAAACTTCTAGAAGCACAGGCCCACTCCTACCACCACCACCACCACCAAAAAAAGCCAGAGTTCCCTTAGGATCTTCTCAGATTGGAAAAGGGCCCACATCACAGATGACCTTTCTAGACTTTCTTCCGAACAACTTCCCCATTCGGGTCATTTCCAAATAGGACTATATATGTGACTTTGTGTTTGAAGACTACTGTTCCTTTTTACCCAGAGGCTGAGAGAAGGGAGAGGAAAGAGAGGGATAGGGTTTTGTTTTAATCCCTCCAAGTCGTGCCCTCATTGGGTAGCTGTCCAGTTAGGAAGCTTGGGAAACATTCCCTGTGGTCAGACCTAAGCGAGGACTTCACTCTGGTCAGATGGCCCCGAGGATGCTGTGAGTCCTGAGCTGGGAGAAACGGGACTCTTGCAAACACTGGACTCCACGGTGTCTTCCCTTCATGAGCTCCCCACCCCCCAAGGCAGGAAGGATAGAAACTGAGACTACCTTTGCCTCCTCGCTAACCTCCCCACTCACTTCTGTTGCCCGCACGTTCATTTCCCTCCTGCCTGTACTTTGGTTTCAGCCAAGTAGTCCAAATTCCGCAGAGTATAAAGCATCGGTTTCCACTTCCGCTGGGAAATTCAACCCAGGGGAGCTTTATGTAAAACCTTAAGGGATTCCAGCCATACTTCCCAGTCGGGCCTACCGGGCTGGTCCCCCTACTTCACTCTAACCAGGGGCTGGTTCCTTTCCTGTCCACCTGGTGAATTGCCACGCCTGCGCCTCGCCCCTCTTCTCGCTCCAGCCTCCAAGAAGGGACTCGGGAAGCTCTAACTGACGGAGGCCCAGCAGTAGGCTATCTAGGTGCTTTTCATGCTTCGCGCTGAGCGAGGATTCCAAGCTCTGTTCTTCTGAGCTGCCTGTCCCATTAGTAAAGTCGACTCGGAGGCAGGAACCAAAAGGCACCAGGCCAGCTCCCCAGCTGCAACAAAGCCAAATCCTTCCCAAGGTGCCTGCCTGTTGCTAGGAAACTACGTGCTGGTCCTGTGGGCCTTGTCCCCCACCGCCCCCCACCGGGCCCCAAGGGTGTGTGGACTACAGCCAGTTAGCTCCTTAGCTCTGCCAGGAGCCCTTCAATTTTATCCTTAAGGCTCCCAACGTCCTCAAAGGGAAGTGAGAAACATCCCAGCCCCGGCCACTTGAATACTTCCCAAACATGAAAGCAAGAAGTGAGTACCAAAGGCCGTTGTGTCACCCCCCCCTTTTACTATCAAAGTGTACAACTGCCCCCCCGCGGCAGGGGCTGCCCACAGAAGCCTCTCATAGCACCTCTCGGGACAGAACTGCCTTTCGCTGCGCTGTCGGAAACTTGGCCTCCCGTCTGGGGCTGGGAGCACCTAAGACCAGCCGCCTGGTTCTCACCCTCCCGTGGCGGCATTCAGAAGGGCCAAGCACCGCGTCCCTGTCCCTGGGCATGGAGACTCTTGTCCCCACTGGGCTGAGAGGACAGCGTTCTTCATTGAGGAAAGCAGCAGGAGAGGAGGGAGGGGGGAGGGAGGCCTGCAGTGCAGAATGGAAAACCAGGAAGTCTTCCCGGAGGCGGGACAGAAGTTGGGATTTTAGCAAGGAATCGGGCTTGTCTCAAATCCACTGACTCAAGTTTTGTCTTTAGAGGCTCTGCAGGTTCTAGGACCCTGTCATTCCTTCCCTCAGGGCGGAAATAATGGATGGGGTGGGGGAGGGGGAGGGAGTGAGGGTGGCCCCAGCATGATGTGGACAGATATTTCCGTGTCTCCCGCAAGACCTAGAAACCTGGACAGCCCTTTCTAAGGAGTGCAGGGGTGAGGACTGGGGATTAGGAGACTCAGCCAGGTGGGCTCAGGCTCCAGAAATCCCATGTCAAGGCTGCCTCTCGATTGCCCCAGGCCTTAAAAAATGACATGATGGACTCAAGACTCTGGCCAGCCACACAAAGTAAAGGCATGACCTCCCCCCAAACAGCACTTGAACTCTTGAGAAATTTTGGGGTAAGTGGGTCTTTTTGTTTTGTTTTAAGATTTTATTTATTTATTTGACAGAGAGACGTAGCGAGAGAGGGAACACAAGCAGGGGCAGAGGGAGAGGGAGAGGGAGAAGCAGGCTTCCCGCCGAGCAGGGAGCCCAATGCGGGGCTGGATCCCAGGACCCCGGGATCATGACCTGAGCCAAAGGCAGACGCTTAACGACTGAGCCACCCAGGCGCCCCTGTTTTTCTTTTAAAAGCCATGGCTTTTATTTATTTATTTATTTGAGAGAGAGTGGGGGAGGGGAGCAGAGGGAGAGGGACAAGCAGACACCCCGCTGAGCAGGGAGCCCAACCGTGGGCTGGATCCCCATGATCACAAGATCATGACCTGAGCCAAAACCAAGAGTCAACGCTTAACCGACTGAGCCACTCAGGCGCCCCTTTTTGTTTGTTTGTTTAATATACCAGTTCCTCCTAGAGCTAAGACACACCAGAAAATTGCAGTTCTCCAGCCTTGTTCATTGGCTTATTATGTTCACCCTTCCTGAGAGCCTAAAACTGGCCCCTGGCCTCCTGCTATCCGGGTAGTCCCCTCCAGTCTTCAGGCCTCAGCCATGTCCCACTGCTGGAGCAAGGCAGCGGTACCCACAAGATGGGACGGTATTCTTTGAAAATCGATTTTACTTTTAAAAAACATGCCCAATTGGGGCACCTGGGTGGTTCAGTCAGTTAAGCATCTGCCCTCACCCAGGTCATGATCCCAGGGTCCTGGGATTGAGCCCTGCGTTGGGCTCTCTGCTCAGCGGGGGGTCTGCTTCTGTCTCTCAAATAAGTAAATAAAATCTTTAAAAAAGAAAACCATGCCAAGTTCATCTTATATACTCCTGAGGTTAGGGTCACTCATTCAACATTTATTTGAGCACCTACTACTTGCCAAGCGCTGTTCTGAGCTCTGGGGGATACAGTAATGAACAAAACAAAAACAGGCCAACTCTCCTTGAGCAGGAAAATCATTAGAGTCAAGGGTATACATGAGCCAGAGAGAAAGAAGTAGCAATGACTCCCGGTGTGTCAATTCACTGTTTTTAAAAAAGAAAAAAAAATCTATATCCTCTCTCTTCCCAAAGACTACCAAAGTTAGACAACACAAAGTCAAATTGCATCTTGTGTCTCTGCAACCTGACAGATTGTTCCTTGTTCTTACCATTGGTATTCTCACCTCCATGCCTGTGTTCCTCTCTGCCCTCCAACCTACCCTGCACTTGGGGCTGGTGGGTGAAATAGATGAAATAGAAATTGTCAGACTCGGAAGAGCCCAGATCCAAGAAAGCCCACTTAGGCTCTCTGACCTTAGTTTTTGTTTTCTGTTTTGGTCTGTGAGATGGGCTCTGCGACACATTCTGGTAGCAAAGATTTTTCCCAGGTATTACTGGCTTAACCTCAGAAGTTCTTATGGCCCAAAGTACCTTTCTCAAGACTAGCTGGGATGCTGTTGCCATAGCTCGAGGGAGAGGTATTGAAGGCTTGGGCTGTAAACGTGGACAAGGGAGTGGTGGACTGAAGAGACAACATAGAAGTAGGAGCAACAAGAATGGGTGACTGGATGCAGGGCTCAAAGGGCCAGGGAGGAGGACCCCATGCTATCTGCAGGGAGCTGTGCAGCCTGAGGGACCGGGAGAGTGGGACCGACCCACGGGCTCACTGCCCCTCATTAACTTTGTGAGGCTTAGGAGCCCTCTGTTGTTCCAAAGAGAAGCAAACTTGGTCCACATTCACTTTTTAAGTAACGATGGGCTGTGGAGGAATCGCAACCCGGCTGCCTAAACTGGTTTTGTTTTTATTACACAGCATTCCGGTGTCTTTCCATCCTCCCCTCCCTCCGGACTTTCTGATGAGCCCCAGTCTGCCTCGCCTTCGCCCAGCTACATGTGGTCCTCGAGCGCACCGCCCCGCTACTCTCCCCCCTACTACCCGCCTTTTGAAAAACCACCACCTTACAGCCCCTAAAGAGGAATGCCTGCTGGCTATTGAGATTATTGTGACTTTTCTATTTCTGCTTTAGTGGAAGTGTGTAGGGTACAAAATTTAAAGTGTGATTCTTACGCATAAAGTTTTGCGAAGGCCTGCCAAGCTAGGGAAAGATAGGGATGAAGCTTATTCATTTATCAGTGCAGAGTAGGGGTGGCTAGGCTGAACCCAGCGCTTCCAAAAAGGGCAGCGCGCACTCTCTGAGCAAGGCTGGGGAGCCATCCCGGCAAGAAGCTTGTCTCGTGCGTTTCCCTTTGGCTCCACCTCTGTCCTCAGTGGTACTTGCCACCTATTTCACTTTGTGTAAATGCAGTGTCGTCCTCAAACCCTTGGCAGACCGCCACCCTAGCACCTTGGGTGAAGCACCTGGCTTATCTATAGGCCCTATCTTTCCCTACCACTACAGTCAGTCCCTAAGGAAAATTTCCCAGATGGAGCTACCCAGTGGTTCCAATACAGAGAGTTCTGGCTAAGATTTTGTTTGCTTGTGTCTGGATGTCGAAAAACGCTGCCCGTATCTTGTACTCCTTTCTTCTCTGTGAGTATTGTAAAAATGGCTGTTGTGATCATTCAGCTCAGCTTTCGTTATCAGTACCTCCCAAAGGGAAAAGTGCAATATTCCCTCGAGTAGTGGGGAACAGGATCGATTGTTTAGGACACACTGAAATACAAAGAGCAATGTGTGAGGTGTTTTGAGTTGATCTCAGTTACACACCCGATAACTTAGGAGACAGTGGTTCCACTGCATGGTGCAGTATTACAAAAGACATTGGCTATGGGAGATCTTACGGTTAAAATTCAGAGTTAAAAACGCTAGGTTAGGTTCTTGGGTTGTGATGATGAATTGTTACTAATCTTTGTGACTATTTAATCTTCAAATATTGTGCTTCCATCCCAGCAAACCGCACGTATCCCGCACCCCACCCCAAAAGAATCATCTGTATTCTAATGCCACTGCTCTTATTGGTCCTTTTTTCTGTTGAGACCAATCATGACAGTGTTCAAGATTATGAAAGTGTTACAATGCCGCTTTAAGTCTGCAAAACCTCAAAAGTAGCCAACTTGACAAATTCTTAGGTGTTACCATAAATTTCAAATCCATCTAGCACATTGTGGTAGGTGTTTGTACAGTTCTTTTAATTAAGCATAGCTTTAAACCATCCACCTGACGAATTTAACACTTTGGCACCCATGCCTTCACTTCAGAACCAACACTTTCACTGAGATCTTATGTTAACCTGAGAACTGGAGTGATTTAAAGGAAGACGGATAATCCTACACTTGTATGACATAAAAATACAGGGGCTACAGGAGGGTACCTAATTCGATAGTTCTGCAAACACAGAACGCATACGGGAAAATTTTCCGGCCAATTTCGCTACCTCCCGACTTGATGGATTAGAGGTAGCAGGCAAATGCTGGTGCTCCCATCTACCTTGTAGACACCCAGCCATCCAGAATTATCAAGGCACAACAAGTGCACTCATTGTTCACAGTAAGTGTTTGCAAAGCATTCAGTTTAACTTCCGGCATCGTGAATGATGTCTCATCCAGAGTTCAAATCGGGAACACTAGAATCCTTTTGCGTTATATAAAATTACTATTATTTTCTACAGTTCTGAGCGTATTAAAATCTATTGGATTTCAAAAAGGGACTAATAACCAATTGACTTACTATACAAATACCAACTTGTAATACTCAATGAAATTTTTTGCCATTTACACTGTACCTTTTGCTTTAGTGAACGTGTATGAGTATTTAATTTTTTAAGAGGCACCATTACACAGTATATCCTACATTTATCACATTTCTTAAAGTGTTAAGACTGACTCATTTCTATGTACTTTTCTTACTTTACAAAATAACTTGGAACAGAATAGATTTTGTAACACTTAATTTGAGCAGCTTCTTTTTTTATTACATTGAATTATATAAAGTGCATGTTACCTTAGAAAAATTAATATTTGCTGCTTTACTCTTTTGCAAAACATTTGCTGTAATGAAGGAATTTGTATTTCCAATATGTACCTTGACTGCATTTTGTAATATTTACTGCTTTATTCCTAATTCTGCTTTCAAGTACTGAACTGGGCATGAAACATTAAAATATTAATCCAGAACCTGTATAAACTGGATGTTGCTTAAAATCTGTATCACTGCCATGTTGTAAACCCAGACTGCTTTTGTGATGTTTCAAATTAATAAAACTACCCTCCTCCTTATCCACTTACACGCGTCTTCATGGAACCTACAAAAGTATCATGAACGCTCCAAAGCAACTGACAACAGCCCGCTTACTTTTGACTATTATGGTTCAAGGTACAATGCGGATGCGATGAACCAACATATAAAACCTGGTAGAAGGTAGAAGAGGGACAGTAAAGTATCCTCCAGACTGAGAAGGCTTTTTGAGACCAAACAATGAAGCAAGCGAAGCGAGCCATGCCATATCGCTGCCAGAGTTTTACTCAGGGTAACTTACTGACGGGGGTTGGGGGGGTGGAGAATGGAGCAGACCACCACAATCCAGGCACTACACAGCTATACTCCACGAAGTCTGGACCTTAATCCACAGATTTTATACAGCATTGTGGTGAGGTCAAAGTGTAGCTATCTAAAGTGGTGCCATCTGTGTGCCAGAGGGGAGGGGAAGAAACTGTTAGCGCTCCTAGTTGTTTACACAACTTTAGGAAAGATCAAAACAAGCCTTCCCGCATTCCAGTCATACGTTAACCTCCAAGGGGCCTGGAACACGTAGCCCCAAGGGAGGTCACTGCACAGACATGAACAAGATGGAGAGCCAAAGATGGAGTCAGTATGGTCAGCACCCCTATAGACCTAGTAGAAACTTCTGTTATGCTGTCATCAGAAATAGCCCCAGTCTCCTACTATAGAAACCGAAAAGCAACAGACTAGTAAAGTCTATGTAATTTCTTTTTTTTTAAGTGAGCTCTACTGCCAATGTGGGGCCTGAACTCACGACCCCTCCTCCCCCCACATGCTCCACCAACTGAGCCAGCCAGGCCCTCCAAGTCTGTATCATTTCTGAAAGATAATCTTGTAAAAAATACACTCAAAAATCAGAATTATAACATTTTATTTTTGCCATAAGAAGCTCTACAAACTAATACCAGGTAATGGTTAATGAAAAGTAGAACTTAAAGTCATATGATAGGAAAGATTGTACAAGTATGAACATTACAGTATTGGGTGGAAATGAACAAGGTTTCGTATGATTGACAGAGGTGAGGAAGCCAGGACTGTTGAATTAACATTTAATCCTTTAGATTAGGCATGCCTTGACAATACAAAATACCTTGACCATTTTTAACCATTTATCTTTTTGGTACAATGGAAAGAAGAAAACATCAATTCCTCATAGTAGTTGCATGTGGGGGATCAGTACCACTGAGATGATAATGATCATCTAAAAATATATTTTAAAGTAAATCTTGCAAGATTGCTATGGCATTTTAAAATCTTTGCTTAGTTTGGGCATTTTCATTTTCTGTTTTCTCTTTCAACAAATTGCTATTTCAAACAGTTCCTATCCAGAAGGTTTACAGGTAATTTAGCACAGGAGCAAATTTGCAGCCAACTTGAAAGAAAAAAGAAGGAATTTAGTAGCCAGAAAGCTAAGTATGAAATAGGAAAACACCACGGTAAGTTTTAAACAGAATCTTGCTACAGATTTCCAACCCAATAAACACTGGGAGTGAATGGTTTCAGCCCCAAAGGAGTAGTTCACACAAATTCTTAACTTTGGATATAGAAACTTCTGAAAAAAACTGAAGACCTTGACATACATGCAAGGAAGAGTCTTCTGGCAAAAATACAAGTTAACTTTCCAGTTTTCCTTCTCCCAAAAAAAACTCTAGAAGACACCTTCATTAGGCACAGGGTTTAAATTGTATACTCAGAATTGACACAGAGCACAGCAGCAGCAAATAATTACGTCCATATTATTCAGAATGGATAGTTTTCCCTTCCAGACTCAATTCCTGGTTTGTCATAATAGCCTTGTTAGACACTCTCAAGTTTTATTATGATCATCTAATTTTCCTAGCAGTTAACTTTGAAAGGTCTGGAAGCTCTGCTGGCCATCAGTATCATTCACGCTTGCAGAAGTAATTATGTCTAACTGGTGAAACAACATTAATGAAACTCAAACAAATTTCCACTGAAAATATTTCTGAGTGCACCTTATAGTCAAAGAGTAATGTTGTCAATATCTGCACAGAACGGAAACAGATATTGTGATTCCAGAGATCAGAGTCAAGTTCTAAGGTTAACTTAAACTTCTCCAAGGATTAGTTCACAAAACGGTTTAAACGTCTAGACTCACAGAACAGAAAACAGACAGATGCACATCATTCTAGCCCTCGGTAAGCAAAGGATTATAATATTTTTCTTCCTTCTTGTATTATTGCAAATACGAGGCCTGATACCCTCCACTACCAACTGAAACACTGAAACCATTATCTTCAAATCTAGCTTACCATCAGAATGATGTATACATGAAAAATTATGATTAAAGCTTTAAGTTCAAAGTCAAGAAATAGACTGTTTTTAAAAATACATAGTTAAAGAGAAAGAAAATATCTATGTTAAGAAATATTTAAGCAAGGTTACAAAGGACTAACGACTATGCACAACAATCTTTTTCAGTATCTATTAATCTTTTTCCTTTGCAAAAAGTAATTTACAGAAGTTCAACACGTTAATCCTGTTATAAAGGCTAGGCTATATATTTGTTCCAACCTGCTTCCTTTTAGTACTAGCACTTCAATGAGTTTTGACTTTAGTTTCTAAGTGTTTTAAATATGTGTCACTTGAAAAGGAAGAAAGGTACACGTATTGTTCTCAAGATAAACGGGAATCAACAAGCCTATATAACATTCCATATATAGTTTTTGATTGCTATAATATTGCAGCACTTTGCAGATGGAATGGAACTTACTTTAGAAAGGGTAAAAACCTAAAAGGTCTTGTGAAAGGAAAACACTAGATCATGGATTCAACTATTTCAAATGAAAACTTTCTATTAGAAATTCTAAGTAATATGAACATTTAAAAATATATACCAGTAGCCTCCTGCCTAAAATATGTAGGAGTCTCATTTATGGAATCTATCATTTATAAAGATTTATACATAATGAAAGATTTATTTGGTGGCTTTCGGATTCGAACTTTGAAATTTCTCAAGGGAACATTTTTAACCATATGAACAAAAAAGGAACTCTCCACTCACTTCCACTCTCTACCATGTAAGAATAAAGACTTCAAAACAAACGCAACAGAACTTTTCCTCTCCTCCTGTCTGCAATACAGAGATTTGTTTTCCATTAACATTTTTGCCCACAGAGACCACAACTGCAAAGGTATATATATAGTAGTCCAGCCACCAAAGTCTTTTCCAGACGATGGCAATAAAAGCAAAACTCAATTCTAATTAGCTAAAACTCTTTCTTCAGATGAGACACTTGTCTGCACGGCCATTTTTCATGGCGGGAGGGAGGCAGGAGGTTGCTATCCATTTGGACTAGTGGAATACACAACCAAGCAGAGACTTACTCTGAAATTTTCCAGAACAACTTTAGAAGTTCTTGTTTACTTTTTATGCCACATCCAAAACACAACACACATTTATAGTCTCAATATTAAGGTAATTGAGAATTCAGCAGTAAAGTGCTAACATGGAAGGGGAAAGTTGTAAGATAAACTAGGGTATGCTAATAACTCCAGTTATTTTCAAAGAACATTCAGACTGCTTCAAATTCTATTCAGGAAACTATCTCTCCAAGCTTTTTTTCTTCTTGCCTCTTTAAAACGAGCTGAAAGCTAACTATATAAACAGATACTCGGGGTGGGGGGGAACTTCTCACTCTCTACTCAAACTTTCAGAATAATTTGCTTCTAAAAATTATCAACAAATAATCCAACTAGACTGCCTTCAGATGACGTGGCAGATGAAATGAACTCGTTTTCACCTTAATTTGTTTTACAGGTCTTTTGAAACCCCTGCCCCTGAATGCAAACCAAACTTTCTGAGATTTCAAAGTTCAATAAGATTCTGGTATTATAAATTCAAACTCAGTACTGCCATCTGTTACATTCTGTTTAAAAATTGAATCATTTTCCTGCTGAATAAAAATATCTTCCCAGGTCATTGGCTTGTTCTGAGGAGCAGGTGCAGGCCCTACTGCAGGGTCTTTCCCAGCATCAACCTTATACCCAATAGCATCATCCTTCATTACAGGCATAGCGCCTGACCTATCAGAAAGATATGCATATTGTCTGATCTGTAAGGACCTGCATGGATGTAAACGATAAAGCTTTGAGTCTCCAGAAGGATCTTGACTATGAACTGATTTTATGTGTGAAGACATAAACTGATAGTTGATGAAGGATTTGCCACAGGCCAAACACTGGTACCTTCGCTCCCCTGTGTGATGAATTTCGTGTTTTGTGCGATATTCTGCAAGAGGAAATACCTTCTCACAGTAACGGCAAGGGTACTTCTTCTCCCAAGAATGAATGTTAAAATGTCTCCGCAAGCTTGTCAGACAGACATACGACCTTTTGCACACAATACAGATATAATAGACCCTCCCATCTACTATTAACTCATAGTGATCATCATGTTTTACTTTCATACGTTTGTTGGGCGTCTCACCGCTAGATGTTTTTGGTATCTCATTCTCAAGTCTGGCCTCCCCTTCGTCAGGGTCATCTTTGACGGGGATCACTATGTCATAAGTATCTTCACCAATATTTGCATAAACCTTGCAACCCGTCGACAAGCCTTCAATCTCAGTAGCTGTATCTAAAGTAATGATCTTCTGACCCTCCATTAGATGTTTTGATCCTAAACCTGCATCACTAGTGTTTCTAGTAATTATATCTGAAATTTTTAAAGAATTGGAAAGTGGCTCTTGCAGAAGTGTAGGTATCTGCATCTTCTGTACCAACGATCCATCAAAAGTGGCATTTGGGGGGATATCAGCCTGGGGGACCAAAGATGTATTACTGACCGCCGAATCTGGACTGGAGCTAATAGTGTCATCATCATCATCTATAATTTCCTCCTCCTCCTCTTCATTGGCCTTGTTTCCTGTTATAACAGCACTGTTTGGTGTCTGCTGATTCTGCACAAGCAAATTGATTGAAGGAGACATATGATTTGGAAGTGAAGAAGTAACATTTGGTGGTGTAGTAAGTGGTGTCTGATTTAGCAAAATAATGTTGGGAGTCAGATGTGTCGGGGCTGAAGATACCAGCAATTTTTCACTTCCTTGTGTCTGGCTCAGAGTTGCCTGATTCACAGAAGTAGGAAGTTTCTGAGTAGGTGTGAGATTTGGTAAAGGGGGAGAGTTATTACTAGCACAAGGTGCAACATCTGAAATGGCAACAGAACCTGGGTTAGGCTGGACCTGAGCCACTGCATTGGTACTCGGCAAAGTCTCCTTTGCAGGCAGAATCTCAGAGCAGAAAATGACGTCATCGTCATCATCATCTGAATCAGTAACAATGATCTTTTTTGTCTCATAATCTTCAGCAGATAAGGAAAAAGACTCTGTTATAATAGGCATTATAGTGGCCCCGTTATCTTGGGCTTCATCTTTTGATTTTTGTATTTCAAGGTTCTTGTCACTAGAACCAGGAGGTAAGGTGTCTGCATTACCGTCCTGAGATGTACCTGAGATGCTTTTAACCTGTGACAATGGGACACCAAGCTCTGCTATAAATTTAACCCCTAACAGCTGCCCTGATTTAATCAACTCATCAAGTAAATCCGATCTAACACGAACAATTTTAGAACTATAGATATAATTGAGAATTTCGGCAAAAATCTCTGCTCTTATAAAGCTCAGTTCAACAACTTGCCCGGCAACTGAGAAGAGCTGATGGAAATAAGTACTAGAAGCTGAGAGAATATTCCTGTGGGCCCGGAATTTTCGGTCTTCCACAATAACGGTAACGTCACAGAAGAGTCCATGGCCACGTTGCTCATTCAAGGAGTTCAGCAGACTGCCAGAGTACTGAATGTCTGTAGCAGAAATCAGTTTTCTACTCTCCATGCCTGTAAGAGAAAGGGAGGAGGAAGGGGTGGGAGAGGATTAGAAAAGAAAAACAAGAAGTACTTTTATCATTCAGAATGTAAGCTGCAGCATCACTAAATAGTGTATTCAAGTTTTAACTGAAGTTTGGCATAACTTTTTGGCTTGTATATAAATTGTTCATACAGGCTGGCTTTTGGACCATGCATCAAATCTCATGACTTCCCCCTGAGAAGAGACAAGCGAGTTTTTAATTGATCTACAGATCTGAACGGTAATCTCTTCCTCTGAATCTCAGATACATGCGTCACCACTAAGCAATTTTTTTTTAAGATTAGAACTAATTTTCTTAGTTCCATTTTTAGGTTCTGTCCTCAAGAAGACTTAAGAGTTCATTTTTAACGGTCTTAAAACTTTAAGAAAAAGTCTTCATCGTGAACACACAGAAGTTATTTCACCTGTAAATGAATGATTTAAGTGTCAGAAAAGCTTGCTGTGTGCAACATCATTCTATACTCTTCCTAAAATTTAACAGATCTTTAAGAACACATTCAAAAGCTACTCCCTACAGCCAATGACCGAATAAGTGTTTATAAACACTGACAGGTATGACCTCTAGACTGCCCGTCAGTTTTCTGTTATTTAAATTGGGGTGCCTCACCTAGATAAACTATGAACCACCTTTTTTACCCTCGCCCCTTTCATCATCTCCTTGCCCCTTCCCCTCACCTCTCTACTCTTACAATCTCCAGAGGTGAAATGTTAGAGTGCCAAGCGAAGTCAACAGATGGTACTGTGAAAAAAATAAGACAAAGGAAAGGTCACCATTTCTTAATGCTTATTTGCATGAAAACACGAAACATTTCAATTTGCTGGTAAAGAATTATGCGCACTGGTATGAGAACTTTTTTTATACCAGATGTGTTAGTGAAAATGAAAACATAAACTTATTGGAACAGAGCAGGCAGTTACTCTAAAAAAAGGGAGGGGGAGGTCAGTAAAGAGCAATGCTGTGTACCACTCCCAAAACATTCTTTTTTTGCCCGTCACAGAATACATTAGCAGTAACAAGGGTGCCAAGTAGTTTAAAATATATACATGTATTAAATATATAATTTTTATATATTTAACTTTTATAGATTATATATATATATATAAACAATTGGCTGATAAGTACTTTAGGTAGAGAAACACTTTTATTGCTAATATTCTTTCCCTTTAAAGTTACCAAAAGAGTAGCACTGTCCTCACAGTGCTCAAGTTATATACACGTGGAAGGCGGGGCGTCTCAAGCATCTTCGAAATTTTCAAAACTGCAGCTTAAAAACAAAAAGTAGGCAAAAAGTCTAGAAATGAGGATTTGAAATAAGGCGTTGCTCATTTAACAGTACCAAGGAATTCCAGGTTACCATAAAGGCACTCATCAGAAAGGGTGACCTTTGGACAGCAAGCCAGCCACCAGGGCTTCCGAAATACGGGGATTTCGACAGAAGTCGCTTTTAAGTAGGTAGATAGGTTTTCCGAATACAATTTTTGTCGTTAGCAAATGGGTCCTTGGAAGGGGGCAATGCATCAAACGTACGTGTCCAGGTGACACTGGGAATTGGTTTCATTTTGTTTAGATCTCCTCCCGCTTTTCCCCGTCAGGGTGGGCCCAGACACGGCACAAATCGCTCTGAACCCACCCCGAGATCTGCGACTTGCCTACGGAAAAGCCATTCCGCATCACTGTGAGACAAACCCTTGACTGAGGGCAGGTGAAGGTGGAAAATAGAGAAACGCCATCCGCGAGCGGGTAAAGCCAACCGACACGCGGCTCCCTGCGGCAGCTGAACCCCATCTTCCTTACTCCACCCCCTCTTCCCCATTTGCACCCAGCCGGCTGCAACCGAGGGTTTTTTTTTTTTTCACCCCAATTCACGCGAAAAGGCAGCTTCCTGCAAATCCTGATGGAGGTACGAACGGCACCGCCAGGGCAGGGGTCCGCCGGCAAGCCGGGGAAAGTAGAAGGTGGCGAACGGGAGGGTGGGGTGTTGGGAGGGGATGAGGCCAAGCGGGCGGCATTGTTATGCCCTGGGAAGGGGACGAAGGGGAGGATGGGCCGGGCAGAAAAGCTCTAAATCAAAGTAGGGGCTAGGAGGAGAAAAGGAGGCACAAAAAGGCAGGCGGAGGGCGAGGAAAAAGCCAAGTGGGTCCCCGTGGTGGGCTCCCCACGCGCCGGGCCTACCCAGGGCACCGGCAGCCCCTCGGCCCCTGACGGCGGAGGGGACCGCGCCGCGGCCCTCCGGGTTCGTCCCCTCCTTCGCTCCCGGGCCCACACAAAGAAAGGGCCGGAGGAGCGGAGCCTCCGACTCCGCCGCTTCCTGGTTCAAGTGAGGAGAATGCAAACGCAGGCGCGGCCCAGAGACGGAGGCAGCGGGCGCGCTCCCTCGCCCCTCCCGGCACCAGGCCGGGTCCTCACCTGCTTCCCGGCGCCGCCGCTTCTCCTCGTCGGGCCGCGCGGACGGGTGGGAGCCCTCCAACAACCAGAAGCCGGACTCCGCGGCGACTCGGCTCCTTCTTTAAACGTCGCTCCAGTCTTGGTCGACGTCGACGCGGCTGCCGCCACCACTGCTATAGCTGCCCCACGCCACCGACAGAGGGCACAGCGCGGGGGCGCAACGCAGAAGTCGAAGGCGCAACGCCGAAGTCGAAGGCGCCCTCCTCCTCCAAGCGCAGTTCGGGTCTTTCCGGAAGGGCCCGAGCTCTAATCCGCTCGTTTCGGCGCCCGGCTTTGCCTTCGGCTCTTTCCGCAGGGGGCGGAGTGAGACTGGGAAGCTCTGGGAGCGTTCGGCCTTTTCCGGAGGGCGAAAGGGTGGGAAAAAGGGAAGGGAAAGATGGGGTAATGCAGTCAGTCACGGGCGGTTGGGATCCTAAATTCGGCGCAAGCTCCTAGGGCGTGAAAACTTTTCGAGACCGTACGAGTTTCACTTCTTTTGCAAGTTTGAAAACTGTTCGATTAGCCCGTTTCTTAGACGATAAACCACCTTGAAATAAAATCTGAATAAATATAAAGTCGAATTGATCGACTCAGGATGACAAGTTAACAACGACGTTACAATAACTTTTTAAGAAAAGAGTCTAGGGTTTGGACACTAGACTGTCTTCTAAGTTGAAGACCAAAGGATGCAGTACTATCTTAATTCCTTCGCTTCGACTACCGTTTACTGACCACCTGTTTGAGCTATACCAAATCTAATTTAGGTGTGGTGGAATACGAAAATGAGTAAGCCAAGGTCTCTCCCTGTCCAAAGAGCTCAGTAGATGGTTACACAAACGTCGACAAAAGTATTTGTACAAGGTATAGAACACAGAGAAGGCAAATAGCAAACTAAATGTCCCCATTTGAGCTGTATCTTGAAAGAGGAATAAATTAACATTTGCATTGGTTTTTTTTTTTAAGATTTTACTCGAGAAAGCGCGCGCGCGCGCGCGCGCTAGTGGGGGGAGGGGCAGAGAGAGAGGGTAAAGCAGACCCCCCGCTGAGCAGGGACCACGCGGAGGGGCTGGATGCCAGGATCCGAGGATCTTGATCTGAGGATCTCGACCTGAGCCCCGCCCAAAGGCGCACGCTCCACCACTGAGCCACCCAGGCGCCCCTAAGTTAATACTTGCATTGTTAATTTATAATTTTTATTTACATAGCATTTCCTCCTCAGGGGGTTTTAGTGTCTGACACGCAGTCGGTGTTCAATAATTGTTTAATGAATGAATAAATGAATGAGTCGTGGTAATTTTTTAAAACCCTCCGGTAATACACTTCTGAGTACCATGATGAACGAAACAACAGAATGGGTGTTTGGAGAGCAAAATCTCTCCCTTTACACTGGTTATTGATCGTATCCAACTAAGGAGCCAAAATACTGCTTTTTTTCTTCAACAATTAAGGCCATTCACTACCTTCATTTTCTTTTTAAAAAAAATACGTACAGGATAATATTGCATCCATCCCCCAAAACGTGAATTTGCACCTGTTTATCTTTCAGTCAGAATCCCTGTGCTTCCTTCCTACAAAAATCTTGCTGAAAATGTCCATCAGGATATTCCAGAATGAAAACAAATCTAACTATATTTAATTTTTTCAACATGAAATCAGACAAGAATGTCACCATCGATCCATCCCTAATCTATTCTACATTCTCCTCAATAAAGTAAAGCCACATAGAAAAATACCAAAGTGGTGTACTACAGTTGTATTCTCACATGGAAATAAGAAATCCACATGAAATTCCTTGGGCTCTTCAAGATTTTGTATTGTGAGAAAACAATGTGAGAATCACTGCATTATTGGGGTTTTTAAAATTAGGACTTAAAATTATGAGTTTCATTGTTTAATATAAAGACATTTCACAGGAAATAGGAGTACACTGTTATAAACGAAACTAAAGCAGATGGTTAGTATTTTCCTGGAACTGAGCACTTAAACAAAATGAGTTAGCAGATTTAACAAAACTAGTTAGCAGATTAATGACCATTAATGACCATTTTCTTGAGTCATCCTTGCCCAAAACTTAGGAGCAAAAAAAAAAAAAAAAAATGTTTTTAGGAACCAGGACAAAGTACTTCTTGAAAATTTAGGATCTATTTGCCTTTCAGTAGCTTAGTTGACTAAAACTAGAATGAGATGTATCTTTGAAATACAGATCACAGCGGCAGTAGCTGCACTCTTGGTATCAAATGTTTGTTGGTTACCTCTCAGTAAACTGGAAAACATGATATCATTTCTTTTGCACCAGCATTACCAGCACCTTGCCTTTCCCCCTTTCCTGAAAGGGCTTTAAAAATGTGGAGCCCCAACTAAGGTATGATGAAAATCTGTTGGTTCAAAGCACAGGAAACCTTCTCTTCCCTTCTGGCCATGTCCCTCACCCCCCAGCCCAGCAAAAACTAAATTAAAATTTAAAAGCTGCCTATAACCAAAGGGGATTCAATGATCAGGAAGGGAATTTTCTTGCAGGAAAGCAGAGCAGACCAAGAAATTTGAGTGGCCTTAATGATTGCGTTTTGGACAAGATCATTGGAAAGTTTCGTTAATTTTCTGTTTCTTGACCAGTCATTTCACCTTTCACTTTCTTTTTATCTGCAGATTTAAGCCTACTTCAAATAACCCAGTAGATTTTAAAGGTATCAATTGTTTCACATTCTAGAAAGGTTTTTGATTGGCTGATAATGGAATCAGGTTTTATAACCACATTGTCAGTGTTTGCTTGCCTTGTTTGAACTTGATTATGAATTTCTTTTTTTTAATTTTTAAAATTTTTTAAAGATTTTATTTATTTATTTGACAGAGAGAGAGACAGCGAGAGAGGGAACACAAATAGGGGGAGTGGGAGAGGGAGAAGCGGGCTCCCTACTGGGAGCCCTATGCAGGCTCCATCCCAGGACTCTGGGATCATGACCTGAGCCAAAGGCAGACGCTTAACCGGCGGAGCCACCCAGGTGCCCCTGATTATGAATTTCTTGAGGGCAGCAACTGTCCTCTCCTGTGTTAATATGCCAAGAATCTTGTGGGTGCTTAATATATATTCAATGGATGATGATAAAAGATTTAAAAAATGACGTTCATTCAGTCCCTGTATAATAGAGATAATACCTTCCCATAGAGTTGTTTTGAGTTTCAGTTTCCAAACTATGTCACGCTGTTGACTGCTTCCATGTCCGCGCCAGGAACCCTGAGCTTGGGATAACCATTCCTTTCATATCCACAGTTTGTCTCTCCTGTTGTTTGGCCAAGTGCCTGGTCTTCCAGAAAGATGCAATTCAAGCACTAACTTACTTGTGAAGCCTGACTTGATCCACTCAAAGGTGAATAAATATGACTACTTAATGTTGAATGAACGAGTGTCTGGTACCTAATAAGTGCTGAATATACATTTGCTTGTTCATCTCTATCCCCTTTTCTACTTAATCCTAACAATTTGCTCTTTAAGTGACTTGATACTGCTGCTTCTCTTTTTCTTCTTAAAACCTTCCAAAGTCAATTAGATAGGGATAGATAACCCTCCTAATGGGAAAGAGGGAGTGGACAATTGCTAACAATAATAGAATCTATCAAACAACAACAACAACAACAACCAGATAGCTTATTTCAAATATGAAAAAAATTGAGGGAATATACTACCCATGAGTTCTTTGTGAAAAATTACCTGGCAATGTGAAATAAAATCAAATAAGAAATGAGTCAAAATAAAAAATTAAGAAAGGATATTTTGCAGTGAGCCAGTCTATTTAAATGGAGGACTAAGACCAAACAATGAATATGTGACAGAATGAAACTGTTTTAAGCCCTGACACAATAAAAACCCATTCGTTCATATGTTCATTAAATACATATCATTTAATACCGACTCTGTGCCAGGCAATGTTGTAGGCAGTGTGGATACAGTCAAAAAGACAAAGTTCCATGATCCCAGGGTCCTGGGATCGAGCCCCGCATCAGGCTCCCTGCTCGGTGGGGAGTCTGCTTCTCCCTCTCCCACTCCCCCTGCTTGTGTTTCCTCTCTCCCTCTCTCTGTCAAAAAATAAATTAAATCTTAAAAAAAAAAAAAGACAAAGTCCCAGTCTTCATGAAACTTAGATTCTAATGGGAGATACATACAATAAACATATGTGCATATGTTATCTAAATGTATAATATCAGATAGTAATGAATGCTGTGAAGAAAAATAAACAGTGTAAAGGGATAGAGAATGATCAGGTGCCACTGTAAATAGTGTGGTTGGGGAAGACCTCTCTGGAAAGATGATGTATGAGGAAAGAACAGAATAAAGTAAGGGAAAGAGCTATGCAAATATCTGGGGAAGAACATTCTAGGCAGTGGAACATGTCAATGCCCTTCAACCAAAGATCACCAGGAACATACCCATAGTTGACAAGTTGGGTTTATTATTCTTTGCAGGGAGGGAGAAAGCACACCATAGGGAACTGGGGGGTGTTTCAGTAAGAGGACGTTAGAAAGAACCTATTGTAGTATTTGGGCGATTTAGGGGATGATCTAAGGAAAGGGGAGTTCCTTCTAGATCAGATGCTGTCAGAAAGCAGGGGCAATTGTATGATTGGGCATCTCAATAAATCTTATCTATAGGGAGGGCAGAGGAGAGCAGGAATAAAGCTATAATTGATAAAGTAGCAGTCACCCATTTTGGCCAAGAGAGGGGGTGTCTGGTGTTTTCTGAGTGACACGGTGACTTTTTTTTTTAAATCTATGATTAGACAAAATTATAAATTGGTCTGTTTTGTCTCACTTCATCAGTCTCTTAGTGACTTTGTCTTAGGTTAATGTTGTGTGAGTTTATGTCCAACAGAAGAACATGGCCTGAATGCTCTGCTAGCTTCCAGATATCAGGGGCTGCCTCCCCTTCCCCCTAATCAAACAGCAAGTGAAAAGCTATAAGGAATAAAATTTAGAGGTCGTGGAGGAGGTACAATAGTGGCCTTCTCATCTTCAACAAAAAATAGTCATTTAATACTGTATTATTATTGTACAGGACATACTTATACTAAAACATTGTTCGTTGTTTATCAGAAATTCAAATGTAAGTGGATCTACTGTATTTTTTCTTTTTGCTAAATATGACAACACTAAAATAAACACGCTGTCAGCTGCGTAGAAATACTTTGAATACTTTGTGCTTT